TAATTATTATATTTACAAATACAAATAACTAAATAGCTAATAAGATAACATAATTATAAGAAAACATAAATACTAAATTAAAGATTATATTTTAAATAAGAAAATTATATTACTCAATTAATATTTTAGTTTTAAGTTATTTTAATTAAACTAAATTATTAAAACAGACTCGCGCGTAGCGCGAGTATAAAATCTAGTTTTTAAAATAGCTAAACAATATTCCAAAGAGAATTCCCTTGAATAGCCTCTTTTACTTTTTTCAAAAAAATAGCCATCAAGGAACAAAATGACCAAAACAAGTTTTAATTAAAGAGTAAATTTGTACTTATATCATTGTGTTAACTAATCTAGACTTAGGGTTTAGAGTTAATGGGTGGGATTATGAGTTTAGGGTTTCAAATTTTAAAAATAAAAAATAAATATTAAAAATTTGAAAATAAAAAGAGGCTGTTTTGGTCACTTTATTTTTTAGTGCTATTTTTGTGACAAAAACTTAAAACAAAAGCTATTTGAGAGAATTGCCTATTTCAAATACCAAAAAGTATTTGAAATATTTATTGATTTTTTGTCTAAATATTTAAGATAAACTAAGTATTTTGGGATTCATTTTTCAAATTTATATATATTATATATTATTTTATTTTTAGATTTTGAGAAATTTAAATTATTTATGAACTTTAATTTCTTTAAAAAAAATAAGTAAATAAGTTATCCAAAGCTAAATCCAAAACGAACTTGCGAAGATTCGAACCAAAGCCGTAAAGATCTAAACTAAACATAATCTAACCGATCCAAATGTCCATCCCCAATCAAATGTAAAAAAAAATATTATTAATAATAAAATATATAATTAAATACAACATATTTTTTAAAAAAGCTCACTCCGCGAATGAGGCAGATTATCAACTAGTGTTTTCATAGAGCAGTTTGTTCTCAACAAACAAACGAGTTCTATTTCACTTTTGCATAGGTCCATTAAGAGCATCCGCAACCGTGAGACTCATAGGAGTCCTTAAGAAAAAAGATATTTCGGATTTGGTAAGGATATTTCAGATTTTTCTTTTTTAAAAAAAAGAAAAAAAATGACCATTTGCGGGCTGTCACGTGTCTTGGAGACCCGCAAATAGTGTAAGGATTCGCTAAAAAACAGTACTTATTTAGAGATTTTAAATATCGAATCCTTAATTTTTTGTGAGGTATACTGATTATTTTATTATTTTTTCCTTAAGAATTCTCCCTAAGCACTCCCGTTGGAGGTGCTCTAATAAGACTTACTAGGTGTTTTGTCCGCACATGCGGGCTTAGCAATTTTATAATTACTTATTATTAGTAAAAGCATTACTAACTAAAATACTATAAGAATATATTTTTATTTATATTTTCATTATTTTAAAAATATTAATTTATGTATTTTCTGTTTATGAATTTTTGAATTTTAATTTTTTTATAAGAGATATCTTTGGATAACAACACAATATATATAACAATTATATTTTTAAAATAAAAATTATTGTAATATATTAGTTGATGTATTTTCTGTTTATAAATTTTTGAACTTTAATTTTCTATAAAAGATATTTTTGGATAACAACACAATATATATAAGAATTATCTTTATAAAATAAAATTTTATATTTTAGATTTTGATTAATTCTTCTTGTTATTAATTTTAACAACAAATCTGGTAAAATAATTGAATTCGTTTTTTTTTTATTTTTAGCTAATTTATATAGTTTATTCATTAAGGGTATAATCGATATTAGCCACTTAACTTTTAACGTGAGAGCTTCGTTGCGAAAAATCACTTCGCATAATTTATGTATTTTAATTTTTATAAAAGATATTTTTGGATAACAACACAATATATATAAGAATTATATTTATAAAATAAAATCTATATTTTAGATTTTGATTAATTCTTCTTGTTAATAATTTTAACAACGAATCTAGTAAAATAAATATTAAATTCGTTTTAGCTAATTTATATAGTTTATTCAGTAAGGGTATAAACGATATTAACCACTCCAACTTTTAACGTGAGAGCTCCGTTGCGAAAAATCACTTCACAAATAATAGAGTTATTCTTGGGTTTACCCGGTTCACCTTCTAATAGGATTACATTATTTCATATTTGATATCTTTTAAAAAAGGAAACAAAATCTTGTTAAGTTATATTATGTTTTAAAAAAGAAAAATACAAAAATAATTAATTAATAATAATAATAATTAATAAAAACGAAAATAATTATTTTTAAAGAAAATATTTCAACACTAAACCCTAAACTCTAATCATAAACCCATGGATAAATCATAAAACTTTGGATAAACATTTATAAAAAAAGAAATTTAAAAATTTATTTTAACACTAAACCCTAAACTATAATCCTAAATCATAAACCCTTGGGTAAATCATAAATACTAAACCCTAAACTCTAATCCGAACCCCTAAACCCTTGGATAAAACATAAACACTAAACCCTATACTCTAATCCTAAACCCTAAACCATTGGGTAAATCATTAACACTAAATTTTTAAAACACTATAAAATTTATCCAAAGTTATGATTTATCCAGGGGTTTAGGATTAGAGTTTAGGGTTTAGTGTTAAAATATTTTATTTAAAAAGAATTATTTTCGATTTTATTAATTAGTATTTTTTTTTTTTTTGAAAACATAATATAACTTAATAAGATTTTGTTTCCTTTTTAAAAAGATATCAAATATGAAATAATGTAATCATATTGGATGGTGAACCCATAGGGGGTGAACCCAAGAATAAATCCAAATAATAGTATAGATTCTTGGGTTTATCCCCTAGGGTGAACCTCTAGGTTAACCATCCAATAGGATTGCATTATTTTATATTTGATATCTTTTTAAAAAAGAAACAAAATGTTATTAAGTTATATTATGTTTTTAAAATTAAAAAATACAAAAATAAATAAAAAATAATACTAATTAATAAAATCGAAAATAATTCTTTTTAAATAAAATATTTTAACATTAAACCCTAAACTTAATCCTAAACCCTAAATCCCTGAGTAAATCATAAACCTTTAGATAAATATTATAGTGTTTTAAAAGTTTAGTGTTTATGATTTACCCAAAGGTTTAGGGTTTAGGATTAGAATTTAGGGTTTAGTGTTTTAGTGTTAAAATATTTTTTTTTAAAAGAATATTTTCTATAGAAGTTATCCAAAGGTTTATGATTTATCCATGGGTTTAGGATTTGGGATTAGAGTTTAGGGTATAGTGTTAAAATATTTTCTTTAATTTTTTTCCTTTTTATTCGTTATTATTATTTTTTCTTTATTTTTATATTTTTATTTTTAAAAACATAATATAACTTAATAAAATTTTGTTTGCTTTTATAATAGATATCAAATATTAAATAGTGCAATATTATTGGATGGTGAACCTAGAGTTTCACAAAGGGTGAACCCAAGAATAACACTCCTCTAATAATTAATTAACTTTTGTTTGTAAAAGTAAATTACGATTAAGGGTTAACCCATCTACGATTTAAGTAAAACCCACTGCTAATTCAGTTTGTCTAATTGCCGGCGGAGTATCTTGTTACTGTGCGCCATCTGTTCGACAAATTGTCTGAACCAGTTCCTTCAAGAGAAGAAAATAAAAACGATACTTTTGTTTTCTGAAACTCTTAACTCATCAATTTTTTTCTGGAATTGGTTTGCTTTTAGGGTTTCACTCGAACAACTCTGTGATTTTGATTTCTAATGGCTTCTGCTGCTAATGGGAACAGCAATAAGAAAAGAGGTGGTGGTGGTGGGGGGTTAACGTCCCTTGCCCCTCGCGAGATCAGCGTCCAGAAATTCTCGGAGGCTAGAGCAGCAGAGCTCGAATCTCTTCACTCCATAGTGTCTGAGCGTTTGAACAAGGACTTCCGGTCAAAGAGGAACCAGAGGAGAAGGACCAATGCTTATACCAACCAACCTTCAAAGAAACGTAACATAAAGAGGCAAAGATCATTATTATGTATTGGTCAAGCCTCATCATCTAATGAAACAAAGATCCCAAGACGTGTCAAGAGGAGAATGGAACTTAAAGGGAACCCTGAATCGGGTTTTAGTACCACTGGTGATGGAACAAAGAGGCTGAGAACACATGTTTGGCATGCTAAACGCTTCTCTATGACTAAGCTTTGGGGCTTTCACCTTCCTCTTGGTTTACATGGCAGGTAATTTCACAGTGTGTTGCTTCCTTCCTTCTCATTACTATAATAATATAGTTTGTATTAATTGTCGTCATGGTTTTAGAGGAAGAGGATCTAGGGATATCTTGAACAAGTCTAGGCAAGGTGTTCTTGTGCATGATGCAAGCTATCACATTGCTGTGCAGTTGGAAGGTCCACAGGTGTGCAGGAATTTAACCTTAATTCTTGAGATTATTCTAAATTAAGTTTTTATCTTGATGTTATCTGGCTTTGAACTTCTCAGGGCTCACTCTTGTCGATATTAAACATGCTACTGGAGCCTTCTCCATCATCTCATTCCACGGAAGTCTTGGACTCTATCCTCACAGGCCTTAGTTATGGAAACGCCATGGTATAGTTAATCTATTGTGAATAATCACTTTTGAATTAAAATACAGCAGGATATAATCGGAACTGTTTTTGTTTTCTTCAGCTTTATCATGTTGAACCACCAGTTTCTCAGGTGATTGCTCCTGTAACTTATATGTGGAGACCTTCTCAGCTACCTAAGAGAATAGATGAGGAGAAAGTAGGTGACTGTGTAGGAAATGATGGCCCAGTCTCAAATGGAGATCATGTAGACTTGCGAAAACTTTGGGTGTGGATTCATGCTTCTTCCTTCAGTGAGGGATATGCTTCTCTTAAACTAGCTTGTCAAAAACAGGTAAGTTATTTTCTTTTTCCCCTTTTGAAGTCATTTTTAGATGACTCTACTAGTTTGCCCCATGCTATTTTTGTGGAGATAGTGACACCTAAAGTTCCAACATTCAGATATATGAGACAGGTGTTTTAGTTGATTGCTTGTCACTCGAGGGCCAGCTTGCAAAACTTGAGATTTTTGGTACAAAAGCATCTCAGCTTCTGCAAAAGACCCTAAATCCTGTTACAAGGTGGGCCACCTAAGTGAATATATAATGGTTTTGTAAGAAGGAAAATAAACAAAGGAAGATTTTCTTATCTCAATTTTTCTCTCTTTGCAGGAGTTCAGAAAATCCTTCCTCTGTTTTAAGAAGATGTTCGATGGAAAAATCTGAAGTTAAGAACGTTGTTGATCCTTACAAAGAGGAGAGCATCTCATCTTGCGCTATTTTACCACGGTTTGTCATGGATCCGCGGCTAATCCCGAATAATTCTTGTGATGATAGTACAATGTCAGTTGAAATGACCAAAACAGAGCCTACTGAGTTACTTGAGATGACAAGCAGCACAGAGGCTGAAACATTCAAGTGCTTATTTGATGCAAATAGTGAACTGTGGCCTCCAGAAGAAGAGAACATATTGTGTTGGGAAAAGCATCAAAGTCGTATGAAGTCTTTTTGTATCGATGACCCAGCTGATGAGTTTCCTAAGATATCTAGCAGGCCAATGAATTTCAGATCTTGTCCTTTACTGCTTCTTAAACATAGAAAGCTTGGGGATACAGCTACCGGGTAATCTGCACTTTAGTTGAATAATTTCTGTGCTGTTATTTAGAATCAAGGTCCTTAAGGATCCACAATTATTCATATATTATTATACTCTTTCAGATGGTCTCTCATACTTCCCCTAAGTTGGGTCAAAGTTTTCTGGAATACCTTTGTCTCTAAAGGAGCTCAGGCAATAGGCCAGAGGGAGAAACGCTGGGTTTCTTGTGATGTATGTTTCCACTCTCTGGAATTTTAATCCACTACTAAGTGATAAGATTCTCTTGCTAGGTAAATTCATTAAACCGTTCATTTGAGAAACTTCTGAAAAACTTGTGTTTATTTGCAGGCTGGTTTGCCCTTTTTCCCATCAGATTTTCCTGACTGCAAAGCGTATTCATCTTTAAAAATGAGTGAAGCTGCAGACTTGGAGGAGAAGGCACAAAGGCGACCTCTTGCCGTGAGACCTTCCAGAATTCCCATTCCACCTCCATGGAATAGTATCCATGTCACGCGTCGTGTCAAACAGAGTTTAGATCAAAAGCTTAAAAGCGGTCAGACTAGTGGAGTGGAGATTTTCAGTAATGGTGGTAATCTATTCGATGGTATGGTGGCAAGAACATCAGATTCGCTGACTACTTTTCTCCAACCTTTCACAAGTGACAACAGCTTGCTTTTATCTCTTCACAACACTTCGAAACCAAACACAAACCTTGTGGAGACGATTCAAGAAGATGAAACGAAAACAAGAGCTCAGATCCATAAGAAGAGTGATAATAAATTATGCCTTGTCAGAGTTCTTCTGCATGCTTTCAAGGAAGGTTCTTTCGAAGAAGGTGCCGTTGTATGTGCACCATCTCTTGCAGACGTATCATTACTAAAATCAGGGTAAGAATCTCCAACAAATCATGTTGAACTAGTTGTAAATCATGTTGAACTAGTTCTGAGTCGGTTGAAACTATTATCATTCACAGCTGCAGTGAAGGAGAAGAAGGGGGTGTTACAATCCCTCAATCTTCTGTAAGTTCTTACTTCCAAGAACAACCTTCTGGAACCTGGGAACTAAATGTCCCTGAAGACACTCATACAAACCAGTCTCAGAGATGGCCAATAGGGTTTGTGACGACAGGATTTGTCCGTGGGAGGTAAAAAAACAAAAATCAAACCCTCAAAAGATCTTGATTGAATATTTTGTTTCTGAGTTGTTAAAAACTTGTCTTGATGATGTGCAGTAAAAAGCCGAAGGCGGAAGCTCTGTGTGATGCAGTGTTGTTAGGGAGACTACGAGAAGAGCAATGGAGAGGGAAAGATGTGAAACGGAAGAAAAAGGAGATTAATGTTCTGGTTAGAAACCTCAGATCTTGTGCTTATAGACTTGCACTTGCTACTATTGTGTTGGAGCAACAAGACTCTTCTGATGATGTCCGCTGCTTTTAGAATGCACAATCTTTTTGATTCAGCCACCAGTCCAGCGCTGTTGTTTTGTTTGTGTCGGATTAAGTTTTTGTTTTATCTTGAACAATATCATTTTAATTCTTTATATTTATCAAAAGGAAGTTTAGTGGGAGTTATTGTAGCACTGGTGTTAATATTGACATGTTCTTGTTATGTTACATGTTACTTGCATCTTCTGTTGCCGTCTTTCTAAGTTACATCACAGAACATGAGGTTCTGAGTAAGTGACAATTACTCGAAGCGAGTCCAGTGATGAAGTTTCTTCCCATGTGCTTGGTTGTAGTTCGAGTAAAGTGACGTTGAAAAGACTGATGAAAATGGCTATCATCATCGGAAAAGAAGAATAAAACATCTTTAGTAAGTTTTTTTTGTTGGTAATCTATTGACTGTAACTCTTGTTTTCTCAGGCGCCACTGGATCCTGAAGGTAGGATAAGAAGTTTTGGGAGAAGAATGATAGCTCGGAGTTTGGCAAGAAGGCCTCAAAAAGAAACTAATCTGATGTAAGGTATCACGACTTAAAAAAAGGAAAACAAATGCTTGATGCTTGCTTTCTAAAGTTTGTGGAAGCTAAGATGATGATGCTGGAGTACCTTTCAAATGAAAAAACATGAGAAAAGGTTGTGTGGAAAGCAAGAGAGATGTAATAATGAATGAGGCTGATTTCGGAGCAACTTTCTTCAAAAATTATTTTTGGAAGTAACCCTGATAAAGATGTCTAGAAATGAACCCTTGCCTGATCAGTTACAGTCATTCTGATATAGATACTTCCACTGAAGCTGATGAGATGTTTCCAAACCAAGTTGGACGACTGAAATTAAAACTAGTGCCTGATGAGGGCAGTGGAGATGGTTTTGCAACCATAGCTTCCTTTTCCGTTAAGGATTCTGAACCTGTGATACATATTTTGTAAGAAACTAGAATTGGATGGGAACGAAATGATATCAGAAACTTACAATACTACTTTAGAGTTGCATGTAGAGCCATACCTTGCTTTTGATATCTCTTATAACCTTTGCAAGTTGGTCATGATTCAGGTTTTTCTCTAAGAAGGCGTCCATACCAGCTTGTATGGTTTTTATTGCTTCCTTTGAACCATGATCATGTCCAGATACAGCTATAATTGGTATGTGCATACCATATTTTTCCTCCATCTTCCTAATTTCTCTAGTTGCTTTATATCCATCCATTTCAGGCATCTGTATGCATAAAGCTTATGGAGTAGTGAATCATTTAGCTATTTCTTTATGGAAGAAGGCTTTATCAAATAAAATGTACCTGGCAGTCCATGAATATGTAGTCAAAGGGGAGAAGCATTTCTGATGAACCTTCTTCTCCATGCTCTCTTTGTGTAAGCCATTCACTGACTAATCTCACAGCTTCTTTCCCACTGTAGCATTGTGTGACCTCAGACACTCCCATCTTTTTCAGCTTTATTGTTGCATATAAAGATGTTGTAAGATTATCATCCACCACCATTACCCTCTTTCCACTCAAGAACTCATCTTCACTAGTCCTAAAAGCTCCATGTTTGTCTTCTTGATTCAAAATATGCTTTTGAACAGTACGCTTTGAAGGTGTTGGTGATGTCTCTCCAGTGAGAGAGTGTCTAATGATTGGTTCCCTTTGCAGTGGAACAGGTGCTTCTTTTGGCTCAGTTCCTCCAAATTCAGGCAACATCTTCAACACTCGGTTGAGACATGATCCATGCAAGGGTTTAGAACAGGTAATGTCCCCTTTGAAACTCCCACGTCCGCTTGGTTTGTTAAGCCAAACAACTCTACATGACAGACCATGGTGCAAGCTTCTGCGGAACTTTTCAACAATGTGAGACAGCTCAAGAAATGTTCCTGTTTCCGCATCAATCACCAGAAGGAAAGCTGGAGAGAAACCACTGCTTCTTCTTTTGGGAACCTGGCTTCTTGAATCAATTACATCCATGCCTATCAAAGGTAACTCCCTTGAGCTCGAGCTTAATGATTCATTTCTGGAACCTTGACGTGAAAACTCAAGAAGCCTCTCCAGGGCATGATTCAGATGCTCCCATTTGTCCACCACTGTGACTTTTATTCCAAGACTCTTTATGTATCTCTCTGTGACCCTTCTACGTTCTCCATCTTTCATCAGAAGAACCACTCTAGACCTTTCTTGCTTTGGACTCGAGCTGTGGAGCCAGTTGTGTAACCTAGGGCTCACATTCCTTATGCTCATGCTACCTCCCAAGGAACTTTTAATAGCCGAAGACATGTGATGATCTCCTGCTTCTATGTCCTGTCTACTCACTTGAGACTCTGATGCTGCTGACAATAACACGTTGAACTGGAAACATGTTCCTTTCTCTCCCATCGCCTTGTCAATGATTCTTATCTCTCCTCCCATTAATCTCACCAGAGACTGCACAATCCCAAGTCCTAATCCAGTTCCTTGCTGTCCTTGATCTGTTTCTCTTACCTGAACATAGTTTTCAAACACTGACTTACGCATCTCCATTGGTATTCCTTTACCTGTGTCATCCACTTCAAACACAAACTCCACCATGTTCCCATTGTCTCTTCTTGATGTTGACGACTCGTCTTTATTCTTTTTGTAGAAGATATTATACTTCGATAAACCTCCTTCAGTGTCCGATGCAAGGACCACAGAGCTCTTGGAACTGGTCCTCTGAGCCCAAGCTCGGATCGAAATGTGTCCCTCGACCGTGAACTTGACCGCATTGCTGACAAGATTGTTGAGGATTTGCTTCAATTTTCCACTATCTCCTCGCACGTTTGAGAATTTAAAAACGGAGCCATCGTGCATATCGAAAACCACATCAACCCCATTCTTCATCGCCACTGGATGAAAAAAATCGATGACGTCTTCCACAAGTTTTGCTAGGTTAAACTCCTCTTCTTTTAACTGCATCTTCCCGCTTTCGATTTTGCTCGTGTCCAAAACAGAGTTAAGCAGATCTGTTTTAAAACAACATGACAAGACTTACTGTTAGGGCTCAAAGTCACAAACACATACAGTATAAGAGAAAGAAAGCTATAGAGTCACCGGTCCTGAGATGTTGGGGTCCGTAGAGATTTAGTAAATTGTTTTTTTTATATAAATTTGGGTCCTGAGATTTTGGGGTCCGTAGAGATTTAGTAAATTGCTTTTTTATATAAATTTGGGGATCTAAGTCAATGTAATATAGACGAATGTTTCATTAGGCTTTTAAGTCATGATCTTACCAAGAAGATCTTTGGTGCAGCCATTCACTAGCTTAAGACGAGTCTCTAGGTCAGACCCATGTCTAACTTCTTCAGAGTCATGGCATAGATCAATCAGACCGGTAATACCAGCAAGGGAACCTCTTATGTCGTGGCTAGCTCTTGCAAAGGCCTGACTCTTGTTCATGCTTTTCCTCTCGGCCTGTTGTGTTGCTTCCATTTGGTTTATCAATGTTGCACGCATATGCATCTCTCTTCCTGCTGCGTTCACCATAAAAGCCACAAACCCTAGAGGCCAGCACAAGCCCAAAAACATCGTTGCAACAAGCAGATACAGCGATGCGCTCCAGATGCTTGGTGTTCTTTCTTTGTTGGGAAGCATGAGTGTGTATCTCTGGTAAGAAGAAAAAACGAAGTTATGAATTTACAAAGAGTCTCAGAAGATGATGATATAACATTTACCAGAGGCACCCCGGAAACTTCAAGAACAGAGCAAAAAGCTTGGAATTTCAAACTTCCGATCTCCACCGTGTAGCCACGAGAACTGCAGTTTCCAGGGATGCAATGAGACGAGAGGGTTTTCGAGGATTCTCTACCGAAGCAAATGGAGCCATTAGAGGTGAAGAAAGTAGCATTTGGTGAACTTTCAGGTACAATCAAGGTCCCTTCCTTGGTCCACAAGTAAAGCTCTCCACCTTGCAGATTCAAACGGTTCAAAGCAACGATTAAAGTCTTAACCGGGAACCCTAGTGAAACAACTCCTTTCTTGCTGTACAAGCTAAGAACGTTCTGAAACAGAGTTTCGTTAACTTCTCCTCCCAAACCAGTTCCCACAAAGGCCGTAGTGTGGTCTGCTTGAAACCATTCTTTATGGGTTACGTATAACGCTTTAGATTTCCTCGCCTTCCCCGTGAGACGACCGGTTATCTGATCGACGGTTTGAGTGTACAATGTGTACTCTCCTTTACCACTTGAAGAGTTGACATAAACAGCGACACTTGCGTTTAATTCTGTTTTGTAAGAAAACAAGAGACCATCCGTACTAACGTACGAAACTTGTGAGACTTGAGGGATCGTTGAATAAGCTTGAAACAACACCGGTGCGATCTGAAATATAACAACAACAAAGAAAATTATCAAGTAATAAGTCTTAATTAGTATAATAATTACAAGAATATGAAATGATGTAATTTAATTTAAACAAACCTGTGTTTGAATCTCTTTGAAATGAATATCGTTATTTGTGAGATAAGAATCTATAACTCTGGCTAAACCGGTTATAGATGAACTGGTCTCCTGGTAGGTAAGTTTTCCAATGTTTTCAATCTTGGAAACTAGACTTGACCGTAAGTCTTCAGTAATGTCGTCTGTTACGTTCTTAGTTGTTCTGAGCCAAATCGTGACCGGTATGCACCCGAAAGCAATCACCAGAAATGCCTAAACGTATTGAATACAAACCCTTTGTTGGATATTTAACAAAGCCATGGGCTTGATAAATTAAATGTGAAAAGAAATGGGATTGGCCCAATTCAATGTAAGCCTTTTGTGGCATAATAATGAAGAGCAAAGTCCCACATCGGGAAGAAACAATGAGATTGAGTTGTATATATATGCACTCTCACTCTCACTTAATTAAAGAACTCAGAGAAAGAAAGGGATCTCCACGCGCGCCGCCGCCGCCGTCCGGCCGGCTCGGCTCGGCTTGGGCTTGGGCTTGGGCTTGGGCTTGGGCTTTATTGGAGGGCCTTTGGCCCGATAAGAAGTTATCTTTTTGGACCAAATGAAGCTCAACGCCTTGCCATTTAAACTTCAAAAACAGCATGCAATTTTATTTAAAACGACGAGTAGTTTGTCTAACAAATAAAAAAACGTCACGCAGTCTATCCTCTCAGATATTTAAACGAGAAAAGAGAGAGTCTTGCGGAAAAAGATTTCGCTACTCAACTTCCCTCGATCTCCGCGAGATTCTCGCCCACGTGCAGCAGTTGTTGCGGGAAGTGGCTCTCGTTTTTCTCTTTAAATAAACTCGCTTCTCTTCTTCATTAATCAATCGTTTTTCAACACAGAAAAAATCCAGCAATCTCTCAGCGTAAGTTTTTTCAGAGAGTGTTCATAGAATTTAGTTCGTTAGGTCGTTTCACGAGTGTAGCGTGATTCGTCTGCCATGGTTGTATCCTGGGACTCTATATTCGTACAGTTTCGTCTCACTACGGAGCGAATATTAAGAGTTAAGGAAAGAGATTTATCTCGCCTCCGTCTTTCATATAATCGTTTCTTTCCTTAACTCCGTCGTTCTTATATCGTTTAAGTCGATCCGGTTTTCCGGCTTCTACACCCTTATCAAGTAATATATTCCAACGAACGATTATAAAAAGAATTAACAAGAAAATATTACCAGGAAGAAGAAGACAAATATTGGACGAGAAGACGCAAACTTTCTAACGTTCACCATCACTTCTGTAAATTAACATTGCATGGTTAAATAGTATACATAAAGCATAAGCTATGGACAAGTGAGTTCAAGAAACTATTTCATACTACTAGATAAAGTAAGTTCTTTAACACATACGTTCTTTACCTGAGAATGCAGCTACCATGCATATATCTTTAGCTTCTTGACTCTAAATCACAAACTCCAACACACATGCGCGACAGCTTCTGACCAATCCTCCAAGCTGCAACACCTTATATATGATTGTTCTACTTCACTGCAAAATTTCGTTTCCAGAGTTTAGACAAACAATCAGCACAACACACTAAAACGTAAATTTTAAAACAGGTTATGTACAAGTCAAGAATGATAGTCCTAAATCTCTAGGTTTCAATTTACAATTCTAGTCACTAAAACACAAGAGCAAATCCAAAAACATCTAGATGAGAGTATATATTTGAATCCTATATATCTAACCTATTTAATTCATGTCTTCCATTTTCGTACACCACAAAAAAGAACTCAAGAATGTGAAAGAGGAATACAAGTCTGAGACGTAATAATGCTAAAACTATGGCTTTTGGTTGTGTTTCTGGTACTGAATCTGCTAAAACAAAAGCAATAGGGACTTAGGGAGAGACAGAGATAGCCGTGAGTAATGAAAATAAGGGTAACTTAGAACAAACCACACTCTAGGAATACAGCTCAAAAGTGAAGTTTAGACCATAGAAAGCTCCCGCAGTATTTTGCTCAGCATATTATTTGACTTGGTTTGGGAATGTATCTAAATGTGATTTGCATTGTATAGTTAAGGAATCTAAATATTAATCGCATATCACGAATGCAATCAAATCTATTTCCATTACATGCTTTCTGGAATATTTAAGGCGTACTATTAAATGAGATTAATATATGGGGTCAAAGAATCATTATGTTAAATTTTTAGGATGGTAAATAGATGTTACATACTCTAGGGCTGGACACGGGCAAATATCCTGGATTTTCGCTATACAGTGAAACCTCTATAAATTAATAATGTTAGGACTACACCAAAATTATAATTTATATCAAACATCACGGAAATTTCTTTTCGTGGAGAGGGGTTAGAAACTCACAGGTTGTGCTATGTACATTGGATCGATCACTGTCCAACAGCGAATGGACAGAGCTATTCCCGGCTGGGAGAAGTCACTATCTCAAATACGAAGGATCAGATCACCGTCCACTCCTAACGTACCTCGACACCACACACAAACAAGGAAATAAGATCTTTCGTTATGATAGACGCCTTAAAGACAACATGGAAGTCAAAAAGCGTATAAAGGAAACGTGGAACAGCGTACCTCAGCTGCATGTGGAAGATAGATTAGCGCTTTGCCGCAAATCAATCTATAAATGGAGTAAGAAATTTTATGAGAACAGCAGGCAAACGTTGGAAAATTAAAAGATCAACTAGAAGAGGCTATGTTGAAACCTGAATCAAATGAAGAGAAGCTCCATCAAATCAACGCCAGTCTGCTCCAGACCGACAAAAAAAGAAGAAGATTTCTGGAAACAAAGGAGTAGACAACTGTGGCTTACTCTTGGAGATTCCAGTACACCTTTCTTTCATGCGACAACAAAGGCGAGAAAAGCAAGGAACAAAATGACAGTTATAGAAGATGATGAAGGAGTACCTCGCTATGAAGAAGAGCAGATAGCTACGATTATTTGCAACTTCTATAACAACATGTTCACTTCATCTAGTCAAGACAGATCTCATGTTATCAATGAAGCTATAAAACCTTGCATATCGCAGCAGGTAAATGACAATCTAATAAAGAAGCCATCCCCAACTGAGATAAAAGAAGCCACATTTGCTATCCATCCTGACAAGGCCCCGGGAGCGACGGTTTCTCTGCCAGCTTCTTCCAAGCAAAGTGTAACGTAATTGGTCCAGCAGTGATTCATGAAATTCAAGGTTTCTTCGACACATGAATCCTCCAAACCTCGCAAAACGAAACACATGTGAGACTGATACCGAAACATACAGGAGCAAAAAGTGTAGGAGAGTATAGACCTATATCTCTATGCAACGTGTTTTTTAAAATCATTTCTAATATGCTGTCTATAAGACTCAAACCGGTGTTGGAAGAGCTAATATCAGAAAATCAATCACTTTTACTCCAGAAAGAGCAATCTCAGACAATGTCTTAATCACACACGAGGTACTACACTACCTTAAGGCGTCTCAAGCACAAGTTAGGTGTACAATGGCATTTAAGACAGATATGTCAAAGGTCTATGATAGAGTTGAATGGAACTTTCTAGATCAAGTCATGCAAAGGATGGGTTTTCATGAAACGTCGATCAATTGGATAATGCAGTGCATATCAACAGTCTCCTATTCTTATCTTATCAATGATACGGCTCATGGATCAGTGAAACCACAAAGGGGTATAAGACAGGGAGATCCCTTATCCCCTTATCTATTCATATTATGCGGATAAGTCCTATCAGGTCTATGCACGAGTGCTAAAGAAAGAGGAACCTTACGTGGAATCAAGGTGGCTCGAAACTGTCCAGAAGTGAATCATCTTCTTTTTGCTGATGACACTATGTTCTTTTTTCAAGCTACAAAAGAAAATTGTCTCATACTTAAGAAGATCCTCTTGCAATATGAAGAGGCATTGGGTCAAAGAATAAACAAGGATAAATCATCCATTACTTTCTCAACAAAATCTCCAGCCGAAATAAGAGTTTTAGTGAAGGATACTTTGGAGATAACAAAGGATGGAGGAATAGGAAAATACATGGGTCTGCCAGAACACTTTGGGAGAAAAAAAAAAGAGACCTATTCACATCCATTGTGGACAGAATCAGACAAAGGGCAGCCACCAGATCAACCAGATTCCTCTCCAAAGCCGGGAAGCTCACAATGCTGAAATCCGTCCTCACAGCCATTCCTACGTATTCCATGTCGTGTTTTGAACTACCTGCAAGTTTGGGCAAAATAATCTAATCAGTACTGACACATTTCTGGTGGGACGACTCTGAGGATAAAAAGAAAATGTGTCGGGTCAGCTGGGATAAAATGACTAAACCAAAATCAGCAGGAGGTTTAGGTTTCAGAGACATCCAATTATTCAATCAGGCTCTCCTAGCCAAGCAAGCATGGAGAGTGTTAACAAAACCAGATTGCCTTTTAGCGAGAATCTTGCTAGGCAAATATTGTCATAAACAAAGCTTTCTCAACACAAAATCTCCGGCAGCCTGCTCTCATGGTTGGAGAAGCATCCTACGCGGACGAGATCTACTTAAAGAGTACCTAGGGAAGGCTATAGGTAATGGACAGACAACCAGAGTTTGGCGAGATTCCTGGATTTCGCTAATAGAACACCTAAGACCTTTCGGACCTATACCGGAAGCAGAGCTAGACTTAACAGTAACAGATCTCCTAATAGACGATATGCAGTGGAACACGAAAAAATTCAAGGAAATTCTATCTCACCTAGTGGAGCAGGTACTGTGTCTTCAACCGAGCCAAGTAAGAGCGAAAGATATCGTAATCTGGCAACCAACCTCTTCAGGGGTCTATTCAAAAAAGTCAGGCTATTCAGTAGCCTCAATGAGTAGAAATACTCCCAAGAATTCGAACCCAGATGAGTTTGCTTGGGTGAGAGATGTGTGGTCCAGCGCGTGCTCCCCAAAAATGAAAGTGTTCACCTGGTCCATAGCCTTGCCCCTAGGAGAGAATCTGCAAAGTAGAGGTATACAAGATCAAGCTCGGTGTGTTAGATGTCATGAACAAGAAACAACATAACATATTTTCTTTGATTGCCCTTTTGCTAAAGATGTTTGGAAAGATATACCTCTGCTTAAAGTAGTTCACATAGCTACAGCAATGGAGTTTAAAGATATCTTGGTAGCTTTCAGAAAGAGTATATGCCTTCCACCCTCTGGTATCAGAGGAGCTATTCTCCCATGGGTCTGTTGGAGTATTTGGACGGCTAGGAACGTGTTAATCTTCGAGAAGAAGTGCCTCTCTCATGAAGAAGTCTGCACAAAAGCCATTCGATTAGCAAGGGAGTGGAGTTTTGCACAAGGTTTAAAGGAAACAATAAAAAGACTATCGATAAGCAAAAACAGCCAGACATCAACAAACAGATCAACAGATCCCTCTCTGCCGTTCAGATGCGGCTTGGGATAAAGAATCGAAGAAGGCGGGGCTAGCCTGGAACATATCAGATCCAACACAAGACAACACGAAGCAAGGATCAACCATGCAGGAACATGTAAACTCACTGATCATTGCCGAAGCTCTCGCTCTCCGACTCGGAATCATCGCTGCAGAAAATCTTGGTCTCCCAAAGATCAAGATGTTCTCTGGCAATCAAACGCTCATCTGAGCAATCAACAATGACATCCAGATCAAAGAGATTTTTGGAATCATTCAAGACATCCAACAAATCTCTTCTGCTTTCGTTGCTTTTTATTTCTCTTTTCTTCCTCGTTTACATAACCTCAAAGCCGATTGTCCGGAAAAACAAGCCCTAAGGGGCCTGTCAATCCCATTGGGCTAGAAGTATGGGCCTGAGGCCGTAACTCTATTTTTTAATTTAATGCAATCACTTTGACAAAAAAAGAAGAAGAGATTATTAATTTATCAATATACTAAATGAACCAAAAACTCAATTTGGGACAAGAAAATTATATTATTTTATAGATATTTTTAGTGTATATTAATTTATAGAGTATTAATTTAAAGAAGTTATACTGTACTTGTAACTCGACTTGCCCCACCGAGTATTAAAAAATTGCCTTGTACTTGTACTTGCTAATACCAAATACTTGGTTAAACAAGTACTTGTCTATATTCATGATACTTGCGAGTAACTTGTTGGACTTTACTTGCTTATCTATGGTAATATTTATGTACTTTTGACCTTTATAAAATAAATCTCAATTCGATGATCCTAATAGTAGGTAATTGCCTTTATTTTATATCATTTTTTTTTGTTTCACTTCTCTGTTATAACTAATATGTGATAATCTAGAGTGGAGTTTAGTTGAAAATAAGAGAATTATTTAGTCCTATATGCTTGAAAATGAAAAACTATAATCCCTTTTACCAACATCAAGAACCATTCCTCTCTTCCTTATACATATTTTATACACATAATTTTA